AGTCGGCCCCAACTCATAGCGACCCCTCCTTGGGTTTCCGAGGCAGTTATCACTACGGAAGTAGGATTGCCCAACCTTCCTTCCGAGGAGTGGCTTATAAACCAAAAAAAAAAAAAAAGTGACTCTATAGGGTTTCTACAACTATAAATCTTTACAGAAGCAGTCTGCCTCAGCTTTCTCCCTTTTGGTTAGCAGCCAAATGCTTTAACCACTACACCATCAGAGCCCCTCATTAGCCATTCGGGGGGGGGGGGACCTCACTGCCATCGAATCAATTGAGATTCATAACGACCCTCCTTAGGTTTCCAAGGCGGTATCACTACAGAAGTAGATTGCCCAACCTTCCTTCCAAGGAGTGACTGGTGGGTTTGAACGGCCAGCCTTCTGGTTAGCAGTCAAATGCCTTGGGCACTATGCCACCAGAGCTCCTACCTCACCATAAAGAAAACAAAAATCTTCAAAAATGGACCAGTAAGTAACATCATGATAAATGCAGGAAAGATTGAGGTTGTGAAAGATTTCATCTTACTTGGGTCCACAATCAACACCCACAGAAACAGCAGTCAAGAAGTCAGATGACGCATAGCACTGGGCAAATCTGCTGCAAAAGACCTCTTTAAAGTGCTAAACAGCAAAAATATCACTTTGAAGACTAAGGTACGCCTAACCTAAGCCATGTTATTTTCAATCACCTCATATGCATATGAAAACTAGACAATGAATAAGAAAGACCAAAGAAGAAATGATGCCTTTGAATTGTAATATTGGCAAACAATACTAAAAATACAATGGACTGCCAGAAGAATGAACAAATCTGTCCTGAAAGAAGTGTGGCTGGAATGATCCTTGGAAACAAGAATGGCCAGAGTTTGTCTCAACTACTTTGATCATGTCGTCAGAAGGAACCAATCCCTGGAGAAGGCTATCATGCTTGGTAAAGCGGAAGGTCAGACAAAAAAGAAAGGTCCTCAACAAGATGGACTGACACAACGGTGCAGGTCTGGGTGGTGTTTCATTCTGTTGTACACAGGGTTGCGACGAGTTGGAATCAACTCAATGGCACCTAATAACCACAGTCCATAAGGACAATGTTTTACATCCTACTTTGGTGGGTAGCAACTGGAGTCTTGAAAACCAGCAAGTGACCATCTAAGATATAACTACTGGTCTCTTCTCATCCAGAGCAAAGAAGAGTGAAGAAAACCAAACACTCAAGGAAACTATTAGTCCAAAGGACTATTGAACCACATGATCCACAGCCTTCACTAACCTGAGACTAGAATTAGATGGTTCCTGGCTACCACTACCAACAGATCTCATCAGAATCAAAATATCAAGTCCTGGACAAGAGTGGGAGAAAAATGTAGAGCAAAATTCAAAATCATAAAAAGAACCAGACTTACTGGTCTGATAGAGGTAAGTAGAACCCAAGACTATGGCCCTGAGACATCCCTCAAATACAGAACTGAATCCACTCCCAGAAATGACCTTTCAGCCAAACATTAGACACGCTTATAAAGTCAACAATAACATTTGTGACTAACATGGCCCTCAGAACAAATCAACCATACAAAACCAAAGGGGCAGCATTTGTCCAAAAACAAATTTCAGAAGGCAGAAAAGTGCAGGAAAGATGGGTGAATGAAACTGGGAATCCTAGGAAGAAAGTGCTGTTACATTGAGGGGATGGTAACTAATGGCATGAAGCAAAATGTGTATAAATTGTTGAATGGGAAACTAATTTGCTCTGCAAACTTTTACCCAACCACAACAAATGTTTTTAAAAAAAAAAAAAAGATTAAAGATTATGTTAGAGCTGAGTTCTTACAATATTACAATATAGTTAGTTAAACTAAAAACAATTTTACAAGCTACAAGAATTCAAAGTTAAAGCTAACATATTCACATCATTTTCAATACTATGTAGTTTTCAATATTATAAAATACATGATTTTACTTTTAGCATCTTTCAAAAAATAAACAGTGTAGGATGACCAAGAATATTATAAAAGTTTTTCTCTATAGTTTTAAGCTTTACCATATTAATAGAACATGTGATTCTAATATTACATCATTTATCATTTACAAAATCCACAGAAAAAATTAATCTTACTTAGACACTACTATTGCCTCCTTGATACCTACTCCTCCCTTATTCCTTGTTAACATCTATAATTCTGTTTGAGACAAGCACTGTGTAGACAGAGTCTCAGGAAATGGATCATGATTTAGATAAGCCAACCAGGACAATGCTTCTCACTACTTTCTCAATCTCCTTTGTAGGCAGGAATGACCATGAGACTCAGTTCTGACCAAGGAAACCAAAGGGGAAGCCTCTGCTTTCCTAATAAAAGGGAACAGTTACAGCTTGCACCTCCTTTCTTCCTGCCTCAAATTCAGATATTAAATGGACATTTTTGTGACCGTGAAGAAAAATAAGAGAATTGGAGTGAAATTTCCCCTTAACTATCACAACAGTGTTGAGCAGATGATTTAATGCCAGCCACAGCCTACCTCCAGTGGTTGCAATTTTAGAAAAATAAACTGTCATTTGGTTAAGCCCTTATACTCAGTTGAGTTTTCTATTATTTGCAGCTAAATACATTCTAACAATGTCAGAGAGGCCCAAGTCCAAATTCAGCTCCACTGTATAATCTTAGGCAAGTTATATAATCTTTCTTAGTCTTAATTACCTAATCTAAAAAATAAGGATATGTCAAATAATCCTTATGTGGTTACTGTGGGATTATTGTGTGAAAATTTTTAAAAGTGCCAAAAATACTATGAAAATCCCAAAAACAATGAAGTGCTGATGTACTTCTCAGGGTATACCCTTTAAAATGAAAGCTCTAAAAAAGGCAATGCTACATTTTCTGTTTTTTTTTTCCCTAATAGATCAAGGTGGCCCTATGAATTTCATTAAGAGCTTGAACTGATGTTTTTCAGGGAAGAACTCAAAGAAGAAAAACAAAGCACGTATATAAAAAACAAATTAAAATTTTTATATCAATATATTTCAAAGACCAGAATGCCTTTGTCAAATGGCATTTCTTACTTAATGTGTTTTCTTCTCCAAACCATAATTACAAAAAAACTGTCAATACTTCTCCCTCGACAATCTTACTTGGTTGTGGTTCTGCTTCTGCTGTCCGGTTTGTCTGTCCTCCACTGATATCAGGTAATCTACTAGGGCTGCTGCTCTTTGGTCTGTTGTCTAAAGTACTAAGATGAAAAACACAGGAAAAGCAGCCTTTATAATATTCAAATAGAAAATAACATGGACTCTGATTCCTACAGTGATCTGCTCTCCACCCTAACTCATCCAACGATATCAGAAATCTGATGTGTAGCTTACAGAAACTCAGGTTAAAATATGAAAGAGATAAACTTGAAATGGATACTGAACTTAATAAAGTAAAATGTTGTAACTATAAAAAATGTATGGAAAAAATATATATAGACTTTCATCATAGTTTCTCAAGTCCATTACACTCAATTAGCACCTAGAAGTCAAACAATTATATAAAATAGCAATTTCGTATTTCACATGTGAGTCACCACATGAAAATACTAACTCAGATGAAATTTCATCCTGCTAACAAATTTGACAGACCTATGGCAGTAAGAGGGAGCTCTGGTAGCGTAGTACCTAAGGCACTTGACTGCTAACCAAAAGGCTGGCCGTTCAAACCCCCCAGCCACTCTTCAGAAGGAAGATGGGGCAATCTACTTCCGTAGTGATACAGCCTTGGAAACCCAAGGAGGGGTCGCTATGAGTCAGGTCCGACTCGACGGCACATAACAACAACAATGGCAGGAAGGACCATAATAATGAGCCTGTGACAGTTTTAAATGTGTAAAACACCAAACAAATTTTATGGGGGAGCGGAGAGCATGTTAGTTAACAATTTGGCTCTTTATGTAATTATCACATAAAATTTATAAAGTAAAGTGGCAACTTTCTTATTCCAAAGTTAGTATTTTTTTAAACTAAAATAGTAAAGAGAATCAAAAAAAAGTTAAAAGTTTTAACCTACAACATACAATCTATATTGAACAGACAATTATGAGAAACATATACCCTAAGAGACTACTTAGGATTTTTCACTATAATTGAATTTTGTTTTATCAATTGTCATTTGAAATATGAGTGCCATTATCTAAATCTTAGAAATTTTCATGCTAATAAAATACTGTAATTAAACTGAAGTGCTAGTACTTAGAAAATCAGGATAAAACTGAAAGAAATACATTCTACTCAGTCATGCATTACCTATTTGTTTGAAGCCCTTCTTCCGCACTGTTCCACAGAGTCGCTTTGGACAACTCCTCTAAGGCATTTCGGTATTCTTTACAACTTCAGATAAAAACAGATTGAAACTGTTAAACATTAAGCTTTTCTTTCAAAATGAAACAGATGCAACAGAACAAGCTTTGCATTACAGAAATACAACCATTATGCAGAAGTGTCCATAATTAAACAAACACATTTGGGTTAACTAACAAAGTGAGCAAGTAGAAGTTTCATGAGGAAAGTTGATGTCTTCACACAAAATAACACAAAATACAACCCACAAGCAAGTCATCATCTTAATGACTGCAAAGGCGTACTAACATTTAGATCAAATGCCTTCAGAGGATGAACAAGTATTTTCTAAGTATGAAACTTCAGGGTTTATTACAACATAGTGGAAAAGAAGTTGATAATGTTTTCCCACTTCAAGGTACTGAACTTTAAGGGAAAAAAAATGTTTTAAATGTATTGGCCAGAAAAATCCTTCAATTCTTGTACTCATCATTCATGATGACTTATCATCAGTCATCACTGAGATGTCACAGAACAAGAGAGGCATCTTAAGGGATGTTATTTTTCCAAGACATTACAGATAGGTGACAGCAAATAGAATAACTGCTCCCTAAGAGTGCAAAAGATATTTCTGATTCAGTTGACTTTCCTACTTATCTATTGCAGTGTAGTAAATTACTTTGTGTGGGTTTTCTACCCATAAGTCTTTGTAAACTCCAAGGTGGGATTTGCTATGAGCAACTGAGGAGCTCCTGATTGCTGAAG